CCTGACAAGCCCCCCTCCCCCTACTTCCTGGTCTGGTTAGCCTCTGGGAGCTTTGCTTGGTCTCTGTCCAGTCATGGCCCCCTCCACCTGGCTGTCTGTGGGGCTGTTTGGAGATTGCCTCCTCAGATGTTGCAGCAGACAAGGAGGCAGGAAGACTGCAGGAGTCAGACCTCAGCCAGCAAGGGGCCGCTCACCCTTCCACCCCACCCCTAGTGCACTAATTCAGCCCACAGATATTGGTTGAGCTGTTCCAGGCACAGTGAACAAAACCAACAGAAATCCCAGCTTTGTGGCACTTTCTAGTGTTGGCCCAGTGTTTTGAGGTGGCTGGGGTGATGTTGGGGCCCCTAGTTCTCCTCTAGCTCTCTAACCCCCACCATTTTCTGGGTACCCCCATATGCCAGGCTCTTTGCAGAGAGCGTTTGCACCCACTCTCCTGGTGTCCTTTTGTACCTCCCCTGAGTTAAGCACTGTTGTATGATTCCCACTTTATTGAGGGCTGGGGGTGAAACTGCTTGCCCAAGGCCACCTGACTAATAGGGGTGGCCAGACTCAAGCCCAGCTCTGCTTGACTGTCAGGCCCCTTCCTCGCTATGGTGTCACCAGCTTATGAGTGGCCTGGGCAGCTCCTGTCCCCCTCTGGGCCTCAGGTTCCTGCCTGCCAGGTATAAGCACTCATGGTTCTGAATGTGCTGGGTACGATTAGAGGTCCCGGTTCCTTTAGCCTGACTGTGCTGACCGAATGCCTACTGTGTGCCCAGCACAGGCCTAGGCCCAGTGGGGAGATCCACGGTGAGCATGGCATCAGCCCTGCCCTCAGACTGTTCACAGTCTCTGGCATCGAGTTGCTGGGAAGTGATTAGGAGTATAAGGCTAGATGTGGCCGGTGGCCACCAACACTGAAGCCCATGAGTCCAGAGGAGGGAGAGGGCTCTGTGCCCCAGGAAGCTGCCTGAAGGAGGGGCCGTGCAAAGATGGCCTTGAAGAACTCGGAGGATTTAGGTAGGGGCAGTGGAGTGGCAGGGAGAGCCTTCCAGTTTGAGCAAAGCTTCGGAAGTGGGAGTTGGTCTTGAAAGGACAGTGATTTGCTGGCTTAATTGGGGAATCCTGGGGGTTGAGGTTAGAGAGGCCAGCCAGAACAGAATGCCAAGATCATGAACACGGGGCCCTCCTCTGCCCCCCGTGAGCTTCCTGGTGGAGGGCTGCCTTCCTCCCCACCTGCTCCAGCCTCCCACAGCCTGGCACCGGAGGAAGCCCGGGTCAGGAAAGGAAGCATGACAACCTGGCAGGCAGGCAGGCAGGCAGCCTTTTTCCATTGTGCATAGTTGGATAAAGAAAGGGAAGTGGAAGAAGAAGGGCGCTCAGTGGGCAGGGTGCTTTGCCCACAGGTGTCAGCCTGCATTCCCTCTATCGACCAGCACACACCCCCATTTCTCAGGGGTGGAGACTGAGGCTTGGGAGCTGCAGTGACTTGCCTAAGGCCATGCGGCTGGTAAGAGGACAGAACCAGGATTGGAACCCAGGCCTTACTGCTCCAAAGCCATTGCTTGGCTATGGTGCAGAGAGTGGGCTGCAGGAGACAGTGTGGGGGAGGCACCTTCCATCCTCATTGTCACATGTGTGTGGATGCTGTCAGGTTACATGGTGCCAGGCCAAAAAGAAACACCCAGAGTGGTCTTGGAGAGGAGGAGAGGACATGGGCAGACCCGAAGTGTGTGTGTGTGGTTTGCCTTGGGGCTGGGGCTGTTTAGGGGCTTGCGGGGTATGTGAGTATTGGAGCTGCCCGCCTGCCCTCCCCAGGCAGGGCCCAGTCTTGGAGGTGAAGAAGGGACAGAACTCAGTGCTCAGAGCAGTTAGTTGTGCTGGGGGGCTGGGGGAAGGGGGCCGGGATTCTCCTCCTTGGAGATGAGGTTCAAGATTCCGTTCTCCTTGGGAAGCCATAGAGTGATGTGTTCACTGTTGGGGCCACCATGGGGGCCTTCCAGCCCCAGTACTTGATACCTGATGGCCAGGCCATGGATAAAGCTCATCCCTCCTGTCCACTCTTGGATCCCAGGACATCATGATACTCCCAGTTCTGCAACCAATCAGGCTGGTGGCACTGCAGTGGGCAGCTGTGGGCCAGAGGGAGGAGGGGCCCAGGCCTAGGGTACAGAGGGCAGCACTGTGTGTGTGTGGTGGTGGTGGGGACACCCTCAGACAGAGGAAAGCAGCATATATGTTGAGAACTCTTCGGTTCAGAGAGAAGTAACTTGCTCTAATCAGTGTTTAATACAGCCTCCCCCTCCACACTCAGATCCTTAAGAGTAGGAGCCCTGTCCCACCACCCTGATACTTGGCTCACAGTAGATCCTCACTAAAGGCAATTTCTTCATTAAAATTTGCAGATGCTGCTCTGAGTGCTCTGACCAAGGTTATCTTTTTATTTTGCCCCAAGGTCCCTAGGAGATGAGAATTATAGCTTCATTTCTCAGATGGGGAAACTGAGGCTCAGAGCAGTGAGGTGACTTGCCAAAGGTCACGCAGCCAGTAAGGGGCAAAGCAGGACTGAATTGGGCAGCAAGGCCAACCTGGGTGAGAAAGGGCTTCAAAAGTCAGGGGGACCTATTAGAATGATTAAAATAAAAAGACTGATCATACCAAATGTTGGCAAGGACATGGAGGAACTGGAACGCTCATTCGTTGCTGGGAGAATGCAAAATGGTACAGCCACTCTGGAAAACAATTTGACAGTTTCTCCTGCCATACAACCCAGCAATCCCACACCTGAGTATTTACCATAGAGAAATGAAGACTTAGGATCACACAAAAAACTGTATGTGAATGTTTACAGCAGCTCTCTTCACAATCGCCAAAAAATGGACTCTTGATACACAAAATAACTTGGAAGAATCTCAAAGGCATTGTGATGAATGAAAGAATCCAGTCTCAAAAGGTTATCTATCATATGATTTCACTTATATAACATAATTGGAAAAAAATAAAAAAGATCCTAGAGTGACAGAGAACAGACTACTGGTTGCCAGGGATTAGGGGTGAGGGGAGGGAGTGACTGGGATAGTACACGGGATGGAACTGCTCTGTGCACTAATTTGGAAGTGGTGGTTACATGAGTCTATACACGTGATCAAATTCCTAGAACTGAGTAAGTCAATTTTACTGTATGTAAATTTTAAAATAAAAAGAAATAGCTAGAGGGGAAGCCCAAAGAGGAAGGACGAGGGCAGGCAGGTCCAATGCCTCCCTTGCTGACGGGCGGGTGGGTGAGGGTGGTGGGCACTTCCCTGTTCTCCACAGCGACTCACTGGCTCTCGTGGGAAGCTGCAGAGGTCCACCTGGCAGCAGGAGGGACGCTGGGCTAATTACAGTTTCTATTTGAACACGCGGGAAGGTGGTGGCAAGCAGCTGAGTGTTGTGATAGTGCCCCAGGCCTTGCAGAACAGTGCGGTTAAACCCGGGCTTGGCCTGTGCACAGAGCCCAGGCTTCCCTGGGTGGGATCAGGCACGCCCCCCACCCATGACTGGCACCTTTCGCCCTGCCAGCTCCTGCGGGGTGGGGGCTGTGAGCAGTGGTGTTAACTGAGCGCCTCTGTGTTGTGCTGGCATCAAGACTGCCTTGCAGATCCTCACCACCCGTTCTCCCCAGTACCCCTGGGGGTGTGGGAGGGTGGGGGGAATAGTTATCCCCATTTTACAGATGAGGAACTAAGGCCAGGGCCGGTGGGGGGTTGTAGGAAGGCCATTTGGCTGGGTATCACGCTCAAAAAACCCAACCAGTTGCCGATTCCAACTCATAACCTCCAAACACAAACTGGTATACGACCTCTGCAGTTTATCCAAAGTCTTGTGTGCCATCGAGTCCATTCTGACTCATAGCAGACCCCACAGGACAGAGTCCAACTGTCCCCAGGGTTTCCTAGGTTATAGTCTTTACAGAGTAGATCACCATGTCTTGTTTTTTCTTCCATGGAGCTGCTGGGTGGGTTTGAACCTCTAACCTTTTTGGTAGCAGCCGAGAGCTTAACCATTGCACCACCAGGGCTCCTTATCCAAAGTCTAAAGCTGCATTAATACAAACACCCTACAAGTTTTGATTCTCTGTTCTGATATTTATTTCTTTGGGTGCTTTATTTTGTTTTAAGACACTGGTAAGTTTGAAAACAGGCAGTGGCCTGGGGACATTTCCACACTGCGTCTGGCAGCCCCTTTGGGGGTTCTGGAAGGATAAGACTTGCCTGGGACCACACAGCAGTAAGGGCAGCCCACCTGGGTCTGAGGCCTTGCCAGGGAGGTCTGGTCAAACCCAGCTTGGTCCTCCTGGCTAAGGGACAGGCAATTTCTGAGCCTTGTCTGCAAATGAGGATTGTTTTCCTGCCTTGCCAGAGGGTGGTAAACCTATTGCCCGTTGAGTCGATTCTGACTCGTGGTGACCCCATGTATTACAGAGTAGAGCTGCCCCATAGGGTTTTCTTGGCTATAATCTTTACAGAAGCAGATCACCAGGACTTTCTTCCTTGGCACTGTTGAGTGGGTTCAAACTGCCAACCTTTAGGTTAGTAAAAACCAAACCCATTGCCGTTGAGTCAATTCTGACTCACAGTGACCGTATAGGACAGAGTAGAACTGCCCCATAGGGTTTTCAAGGAGTGCCTGGTGGATTCGAACTGCCGACCTTTTGGTTAGCAGCTATAGCTCTTAACCACTACGCCACTAGGGTTTAGGTTAGTAGGCAAGTGCAAACTGCTTGCGTCACACAGGCCAGGGGGTGGCAGTGAGTGGAAATGAGATGCTGGAAGAATGGGAGGCACCCAGCGCTGGTGGGGATACCACTGTTATTTAATCCAGCCTTCTGTCAAACGTCATTGAGCTTGGTTTCCTCGTCTGTAGAATGGGCATAAATAATATCCAGCTTGCATGGTGGCTGTGATTAAATAAACCCCTTCTCCCTTTACCTGCTGTGCCGTCTTTTTCCTGATTATATTCCTGTCTCCATTGCATAGATTTTGCGCTGCTTGAAGGCGAGGCTCTCAGCTCACCTCTTCATCTCTGGTGCCCAGTGCAGTGCCTGACACACAGTAGGTGCTCCAGATCTGGCTCAAGGTGAAGCTGGGGGGCAGCTGGCGTGGGGCAGACACTGGGGTGAGGTGGGGTGGAGGGGCTGGGCATTAATGGCAGGGAGGGGGGCAAGTCTTGGGCAGGGCTCTTGGACTCCCCAGGACCCCTGCCAACACTTTTAGCCGTCCTTCCCCTAGCTGAGCTGGGTCCCGTAGCCACCGCCCCCCTTCCTTCTGGCAGATTTGAAGGAGGTTGTCTGGGAGGGAAGGAGGGCTTACTGGGGGGCAGGGGTGGTCTAGGCATAAGTTCAGTGGTGGCCTGCACCTCAGAACTCAGAAACTCCCATCTCAGGCTTGGGCGCATCTATCCTATTTCTCAGCCTTGTTTGCCATTGCTGACCCAGGCCCCTTGTTACCCCAACCCCAACCCAGGCCCGCACACCTTTTCCTGGCCCATGTGCTCCTGCCCTGCCATCTGTAAGGCTCCATCTGGCCTGTCACCCTGGGTGTGCCGGGCCCACTTAGGCCAGACGGGCTTACACAGCCAGAAGGGCTTTGGGAGCGTCTGCCCCAACCCATTTTACAGGTGAGGAAGCTGAGGCAGAAAAAGGGAGTGCCTTGCCCAGCATCACACAGCAGAGTAGTTGCAGAGCTGAGTGCTGAGCCTAGAACCTTGGATTCCCATCCTGCTGCCCGAGGCTGATGAGGAGGCCCCAGTAGGCCCTGAGGTGGGGTCTGGCCTCCCGCTGCTAATAGGGCCCTTTCCCTGAGGTCTCAGAGCTGGGCAGGACCAGTGGCCTGAGGCTGGTGTCTCCCCTCAGCCCCTCTGCAGAGGCCGGGATCAGGACAAGATGGCGGCCAAGCAGCCCCCACCCCTGATGAAGAAGCACAGCCAGACAGACCTCGTGAGCCGCCTGAAGACTCGGAAGATCCTTGGGGTGGGCGGGGAGGATGATGATGGAGAGGTGCATCGCTCCAAGGTAGGCATCTGTGGAGGGGCCTTGAGCTGGCCATGCCCAGGGGTCTGTCTCTGCATACAAATCTGGGAGGCAGGCCTGGCTGGCCCACCATCTGGGGTAGAAGAGTAGCTGAGGCCCATGTCACTGCAGGAGCCCTGGGATTTAGCTCATTTTTCTAGAAACTTAATGGAGATGCCAGAGGAATAACAATAATAATGAAAACAAAAGATCACTGGAATTGAGTGCTTATTATGTACCAGGTATTATGCCAAGTGCTTTACAAGCATAATTTAATTTTGACTTCCCTGGGAAGTATAGATACAATTATCCCCATTTTATAGAGGAAGAGAGTGAGGCTCAGAGAAGTTAAAGGACTTGCCTGAAGCCACACCAGTGAGTGGCAGAACCAGGTTTCAAGCCCATGTCTGGCAGACCCCTGAGCCTGCGCTCCTAGCCACCTTGTCTTCAGCTTCCTTTAAACCTCAGGGTCAAAGAGAGGAAAGAGATGGGGTGACTGCAGTGGGAGCCCTAGCCTGGGCAAGTCTCTGCCAAGCAGAGGTACCCAAGCAGGTCTCTGAGTGTGTCAGGGGTGGGGCTCAGGAGGGTATGAGGGGGCTGGGCAGGCTGAGGCTGAGCCTGGCTCCTTTGACCCTTGTGTGTCCACAGATCAGCCAGGTCTTGGGCAATGAAATCAAATTTGCAGTTCGGGAACCTTTGGGGCTCAGGTGAGCATTTATGTGTGTTCTGGGGGGTTCCCAGGTTGTGTGTGTGTGGGGAGCTGCAGAAGACCCTGCCTCATTTTCATTTTGCCTTGTGCCTGGATGGTCTTGCCTTTTGATTCCATCCTGTCTCATAACCTCCCCCCAAGCCAGCCATCCCGGGCACTTGGCCAGAGAGGCGAGGGTCTGCAGGGCCTGAGGCAGCATCGAGGGGCCTCAGGCAGCATCGAGGGGCCTGGGGCGGCAGCGAGGGTCCTGGAGCGGCAGCGAGGGTCCTGGGGCGGCAGCGAGGGGCCTGGCTGCAACCTTCCTCTCCACCCTCTCCAGGGTCTGGCAGTTTGTTTCTGCTGTGCTCTTCTCCGGCATTGCCATCATGGTGAGCCCCCGCCCCACCCCTGTGACCTAGCCCTGGGTCTGGTTCCCCCAGCCCTGCCTCTCTCTGGGGCTTTGCCATCACGCTGAGGCCCCACCCCCAGGGCTCTCTGGTGGCCTCCCCACTCGTGCCCTGCCTGGAGCATCCTAGAGTCCATGGTCCTTCCTGACCCCTTCTCTTCCTCACGGGGAGCCGCATAGCCTTCTGTCCTGGCATGGAGGGGTTGGGGGCAATCAAGATCTCAACCCTGGACTGCCCCAAGGGCAGTGGCCCGGCTCCTGGGGGGAGGAAGGACATGTCCAAGGTAATTGTCAACAGTGCCCCCAACTGTTTCCAAGAGCTGGCCCTCTGAGTACGCTCCCTGTGTCTGCAGGCCCTCGCCTTCCCTGACCAGCTGTACGATGTAGTCTTTGATGGGGCCGAGGTGACCAGCAAGACCCCCATCCGCCTTTATGGCGGCGCCCTCCTCAGTGAGTATGACTGGGAGGTACTGGGGGAGGGATTGGGCAGCTGAGGGAACCCAGTGGGGAGCCTACATCTGTGCAGGAAGTTCCCTTCCTTTCCCCTGCTGGAGTCTGCAGCACCCTCCCCCAATGCATCATCAATCATCCGATGAGTCTGTCTCTGTGGGTGTGTGCTGCCATCTTATGGCCATTGGCTGAATGCACCCAGTGGTTTGGAGCTCTGTCTTTGCCATCATTTGGGACACTTATTGAACGCTTGCTGTGTGCAGTGCACCACCCTGGCACTGGGGTACAGAAATGAATGAAGCCCGTGCTCTTCCCTCTAGAGCCTCACAGCATAGAGGAGAAGGCAGAAACAACATGGTGTGTGCACAACACCTCATGCCCACTCCATCTTCATCCCGAGTTACTGCCAGGGTTCAGAGCCTCCTAAGCCTCTCTTTTGAACCATTTCTGTTTCCTCTCTAACCTGAGTTGCATACGGTGCCTGCTAGGAAGTTGAATTAGAGTTTTTAAAACTCAGCACAGGTCATGCCCCTCCCCTTCTCTAAAACATTCTGTGGCTCCCCATTGCCTGTAGAATAAAGTTTCGGCTCCTTTGCCTGGCATGGGTCCTCTGTGGGGTGGATCCAGCTTCGTTCCCAAACTTACCTCCCCTCACGACCCCCAGTGGGCCCGGACTGCAGCCACACTGACAATGCACTGTCCCGTTTCACAAGGCCTCTGTGCCTTTGCACATGAAGTTTCCCCAGTCTTGTGCTGATTGCACTTCTACTCAGCCTTCAAGGGCCAGCTCAGATATCCCTGGGGCAGGGGGTGGTGGAGGTTGGGGCAGCTTCAAGCACTTCATCCACACAGTGGGAGAGCTGGAGTTATGGGTTAGGTTTGTTGACGTACAACGATCTATATATCTGGTGTTCAGAGCCAGCCAACGCTGGGTAAGCTAGCCTGATAGAGGTTCCGTTGGTCGTTCTTCCACCAAGAAAATATGGTCCATATGCCCCGCCACCCCAGGGAATTCCTTAGAGTGATTCTGTAATGGGCTCGGGTTTACTATCTCCAGGAATCCCTGTGAAAAGAAAATACAACTATAGGACCAGATAACCATGAACTCTGTCAACACAGAACTGGGTTTGGTTGGGCAGGTTGGCTGTGGCGCAGGACTCTCATTTTACAGATAAAGAGACTGAGTCCCAGTGGGGGAAAGTGACTTGCCTGGTGTCCCTTAGTGAGCTGGGAATGGCATGAGTAGGGATGAGGTGACTGGCTGAAGCAGCAGAGTTGAACGTGGAGGGAATGCGACAGGGACAGGGACAGGGAAATTCTGACTTGAGGAGTGTGAGTCAGGGCGGGGATGTGGAAGCGCGGGGTCCTGGCTATCTTGCGGCAGTGGTTGGCAGTGGTCAGAGGGGAGGACAAAGGGGTAGGTGGGTGGGGCTGGGCTGCTCCACGCCCCCCCCACCAGCCCACCCACCCTGTGCCCACCACAGGCATCTCCCTGATCATGTGGAATGCTCTGTACACGGCTGAGAAAGTCATTATCAGGTGGACTCTGCTCACCGAAGCCTGCTACTTCGGAGTCCAGTGCTTGGGTGAGTGTGGAGGTGGGCCAGGAAGGGAGGGGTGGGGGATTCAGCAAGGCAGCTGTGCCCCCGGCCTCCAGCGCAGGCCATTCGAGTTTGCAGGAAGTGAGAGGGGATGGGGGTAGGACTTGAGTGTCAGAGCTCACCTGTGTGCCTGCAGGTCCTGCACACCTGTGCTCGCAGGTACCTGTGTCTTCCTGAAGACACGTGCGCACCCACGGCCCTGCACCATCCCCCCCCCCACATGCACCTGCGCTTCCCCCAACCCATTGCTCACTTTCATACCCGGCAGGTGTGTAACAACACATGCTCAGTTTGGGCCCCACGCTCTACCCCACTACCTGCCGCGTGGGGACATCAGAACAGCAGTGTCTTGGAGTTGGGGGCAGGGCTGAGAGTGTGGTCATCGAGGTGGCCACACCAGGGCTCCCTGCTCAGCGTGGCCTCCCGTGGTGGAGGGCGAGGGCACGGCCCCTCTGACTTGTCCCCTCCCCGCCCTTTCTCCCACAGTGGTCACTGCCTCACTCGCCGAGACGGGTCTTGTGTCCCTGGGGGTCCTGCTGCTCCTGGCCAGCCGCCTCCTTTTTGTCACCATCAGCATCTACTACTATTACCAAGTTGGCCGAAGACCCAAGAAAGTCTAGCTGCCCGCCAGGCCAGGGCTCCTGCCGGTGCCGGGGCAGGTGGGGCTGGGCCTCTTGTCACCTTTGGTTGCTGGAGGACAGGAAGGACCTCTGCCCTGCCCAGCCCTGCCCCTGCCTGCTGAGGAGGGGCAGGACCAGGCAGGCAGGGGCATGCCTTCTCTCAGCCCAGGTGCTCCCTGAATGCGGGGATTTCTGGGCTTGAGATGCTGGTGTGGGGAGAGATGGGGCCTCTGCACCCGTTCTCCATCCCACACGTGACGCCTCCTTTCCTTGAGTCTCTGGGCCTCCGGTCCCCTCAACAGACACTGACTAGAGGGCTTGAGTCACGGGGGTGTTGGGCAAAGTCGGAGGTCCTGCCAGGAATCCTTTGTTTGTTCTGAGAGAGGTCTGTGGACTGCTTGCTCCCTCTCCCCTGGCGAAGCTAGTGAACCTGGCTTCTGTTGATGCCTGGAAAAGCCTGAGAACAGACCCTGTGCTCCTTCCCCTCAGTCTGGGCCCTCCCTTACCTAAACACACACACACACACCTTCCCATGGCCTAGCTGTGGGCTGGGGAGGCAAGGGTGGGCTGAGTTGGTGCATCCCTTTCGGCCTTTCTGTGCAGCTGGGCCAGAGGCCGGGACCTGTCCGCACCCCCAGGCCTGGCCCAGCAGGAGCTCTCCTTGGCTCTGGGCTGCTCTGCCTCTAGTGCCACCTCTGCCCCAGGTTCCCAGAGGCCCCTAGGAGCCCCCTCCTACCAACTGGTGGGTCCAGAACCTACCAGCGGCCATAGGCCCTCCCAGACAGATGGACATAGGTGACTCCAGACCTATGTGTACCTATCAGTGATGGGGTTTGAAGATGAAGAGAACCGTGGTGTTTCCTTGTCTCTTGCTATCTCCTCCAGGGTCTGATGTTCACCTGGTACAGCCCCCTCCCAGATCCCAGGGCCCATCCGAAACCTCGGCTGACACCTGGCTTCCTGGGAGCTGAAGACCCCCTGCCCTGCCTCTCCCTGAATGCCCACCTGCCCACGTGTCTCCATTTGTCCCTGCTTCCAGTGCTCTCCTTCCCTCCAGCACATGTTCACACATGAGGGATGGGGAGAGGTGTGGAGAGAGAAGCAGCCACAGGCCCCAACTCGCTGCCCTGCTGGATCCTTAGGTTCAGCCCAGCTCTGGCTGCTGCCCAGCTCAGCCTCTGCGTGGCTTCCTGGGAACCTTCTGCTGCCCAGCCCTGTGCCCAGCGGCCCCTGCAGCCACACACCCAGTGACAGGGTTGTGGCACACCCACTGTTACACAGCTGAGAAAAGCCCAGAGGGTGCCCGAGGCTATGCTGCTGGTGACAGGGCTGAGCCGGATTGGGAACCTGGTCTCTGAGGAGGGGCCTTGCTTTCCCGGCATGCATCTCTGGCCACTTACGTGTGCCTCCACCCAAAATACTGCCCCCTGCGGTGGAGCCCTGGGCCGGCTGGGAGCCTGCTGCCTTCACTGGGTGAAGGTGCTGTCTGTAGGTTGGGCAGTGCCCCAGGCTGCAGTCCCCCATCCGAGCCATGCCTTTCAAGGCCTAGCTAATCCTCCAGTGGGTGATGGATGATTTGTCCTCCCAATAACAGCTGGGCATGGCAGGTAGATTCCACCCGAGGAGGCAGGTTAGTTGTTAGCTGCTCTGGAGTCAGCCCCTAACTTATGGTGATCCCATGGTCAGTGTGGATTGGACCGTTGTGATCCACAGGATTTTCACTGGCTGAATTTTGGAAGTAGATGACCAGGCATTTCTGCTAGCCCATCTTAGTCTGGAAGCTCTGCTAAAACCTGTTCAGCATCATAGCAACACGAAAGCCTCCACGGACAGGTGGTGGCTGTGCATGAGGTGCACTGGCTGGGAATCAAACCCGGGTTTCCAGCATGGAAGGCGAGAATTCTACCTCTGAACCACCACTGCCCTAGGCAGACAGGAAGTAGAAACACACAGGCTTTGGGGTCCGTTCTGCATTGGGCATCTGCTGGGGCTGAACCCAAGTCTACATCTTACTGTTGAATGGGGCAAGTGGCAGGACCTTACCTGCTGGGCTGTGGTGAGGACACGCCAGGATGGGGCGGTCTGGGCTCCGGTACAGAGCAATGTTCATTAAATGTGTTGCTTAGTTAAATGTTGTAGTGGTGGTGGGGCAAGTTCTTATGGCTGGGGGGGGGGCTCAGATAAGGTCTGGGGGCATTAAGGGAAGGAGGATTCAGTACTGGGAAGTGGGCAGTGACAGAAGGGGAGAGGGAGGCCATGTGGGGGGCTAGCTCTCTTAAAAGCTTGGGATGACCTGGAATGCCCCCTCCCCCCAGTCCACCCCTGCAACTGGACCCCAGCACCCTCGAGCCAAGCTCCTGCCTTAGCCCATCTGCCCCCACCCCGAATCAAGACCACCTTTCTCCACAGTCACTATTTATTCTTCGTTCCTCTTTCTTTTCGTAAGAAACTCACAAAAGCCAGTGCAAAACCATGTGTGTGGGCGTCCTGTTTTGTATCACAAAGCTCCCCTTAATATATAAACAGGGGGAGGGGCTCACAAGAGATGAACATGATGAATTAGCTCTGCCATCTACTGCAAGGACCGTTTACAATTTTCAAAATAGACTTTTGATATGTGACCCACAGGGAAGGGAGAAGGGAACCTCTGGAGAGATGGGGAACATTGCGTCCTGGGCTGGTTTGAGGGGTCCTGTCTAGACCCATTAGGCGTGGATAGGGGAGAGGGGCAGTGGCGGCTGAGGAGGGGCCTGAGCAACAAGGCTGGATACTAACAGGGAGCCAGGGGAGGGGGTCGAGCTCCCTCACCCCCAGCCCTTAAGATGCATCTTCCCTTATCTAAGATGCTATAACTTCAGAGCAGGAAACTGGCTTCAGCACAGGGTGGAATGCGTGATTAACAGTGTAAGGTCTTCCCTGTCCCTTTTCCTGTTAGTGGGGTCAGAGAAAGTCTCAGTTGTGGGTGGTTTAATTCTTGTGCGGGGTGGGTGGGTGGGAGTAAAGAAATCACACCCCCTTCCCCAACAACTGCCACCAGAGCCCGATGTGGGCTGCACCTGAAAGAGCTCAGCCTGGGTCCTAGCGCCTGCAGATCTTGTGCTCTAGAGGCTCAAGCCTGATCTGGGCCGAGTTTCCTGTTTCAAGGGCCCTAGGAACAGCCTCAGGCAGCCTTGCAAATAACTGCCAGCCTGGCCTGAGAGTGCTCCATGGCAGGGGAGAGTCATGGCTGATTCTTGGCACCTTTAAGGAAAGCCCTTGAGGATGAAAGTCTGACCCACTCCAGAATGCACCTCAGCCAGATGTTTCTCCATGACCTGCCCTTCCAAGGTTCTCTTCTTCCTCCCTCTCTAACGTTTATGGGGCCCAGGAGGAGGTGGAAGAAGAAAAGACTGAAGGAGAATGAGTGAGTGGTGCCAGATGCCCACTGCTCTTCATACCTTGAAGGCCCCCAACTTACCTGGGGGCCTCAGAAGGCTGGGATGTCCCTGGGCTGGAGCCACAAAGCTGCCCCATTTGACTTCTGAACCCCACCCTACCTGGGTTTGGGTTTTCTGTCAAACTTGGACCATCCATTTTCCTTTTCTCGGAAGCTGGAGCTATGCATGTCGGTAGGTCTAGAGAGAGGCAGGCCCCAGACCCTTCTGAGACTCATCATCCCACCCTGAAGTGGGACAGCAGAGAGGACAGCAGACACCATCCCCACACCCCTGGCAAACATCACTAATCAAGCTCGTGGGAAGACAATACCTGACCTCAGTGTTCCAGGAAGGAGAGAGTACCAGCTGCAGCTCCTCCTGGCTCCTTGGGATGCCCAGCCTCTACAGAGCTCACAGGATTATTTATGGAGTCTCTAGGGCAGGCTGCTACAGGGACAATTTGAGAAGACCCAGTTTGGAGACCTGGAGAGAAGGGACAGCAAGGCATGGGTGAGGGGTCAAACTGAATCTTTACAGCAGGTACAGAGCTCCTGGCTGCATCTCAGAAGGGGAATAGGTGGCAGAGACGGGGGAAGAGTGGGCTCTGGGCTGTAGCTCTGACTCCCCTGGGTGACTGGAAGCCACATGGGGAGGATGAGAACTGGCACAGGATCCTGGGAGACAGAACGGAGCTTTTCCCAGGACCCTGACATGGGACTGTGGAGAAGAGAGCAGTTTCAGGCCTTACTGATCAAGCTTACTCTTCCTGGCAGACATCACTAATCAAACTTACCGTGCCTGGCAGGCATCACTAATAGGGATTCCAGGGCCCTCTCCCCACTGACCCCAGCCCAAACTGCAGTATCCTTCGCACAGCATCTGGCAGCCATTTCCTGATAGATCAAGATCAATGCGCCCATGAAATCCAGTTGCCAACACTGGTCTAGAATTTGAGGCCTGTGTATGCAGTATGCACAGCTGATATGTGGATGCTATGTGGGTGTGAATGAATCTGGGAACATCCCTCCCTGCCCGAACCTGGAGGGAACACTCAAAAATGTGATGCGGATGGTGAAGGGACAGGAAAAAACGTATCACAGCAGAAGTGGCCAAGATGCCCTGGGGTTCTTTAGCCTGGAGATAAGAGGGCTTAAGGGGAGACAATGTCTGACCTTAGCACCCTCCAGGAAGGAGAGAGAGCAAGTGGGATGCCACGGACGAAACCACAGAAAAACAGAAACCTCTTCTGTGTATTGAGCTGATGCTAAGTCAGAGCAGTCCACAGGCGGGGGGTGAGGGGTTGGGGGCGGGGGGACTGCCTGTCAAAGTAGTGAGCTCTCCGTCCCTGGAAGTATGAAAGCAGAGGGTGAAGTCTTGGCAGGGGTCTCGTGGAGACATCCAAGCCTCAGTTCTGGTATATGATCTTGGTGGCTCCTTCCAGCCCTGGGAGCCGGGGGAGAACAGGGAAGGGGATGAGGTTGTGTGGAGAGGTGGGCAGTGTAGAAAGGGAATGGGGGTGTGCACATGTGGGAGCTTAGAGAGGCAGGAGGGAGAGCAGAGTGAACACGGTCCAGAATTTTCTTA